TGTGTGTGTGTGTGTCTGTGTCTGTGTCTGTGTCTGTGTGTGTCTGTGTGTCTGTGTGTGTGTGTGTCTGTGTCTGTGTGTGTGTGTGTGTCTGTGTGTGTGTGTGTCTGTGTGTCTGTGTGTCTGTGTGTGTGTGTCTGTGTGTGTCTGCGTCTGTGTGTGTCTGTGTGTCTGTGTCTGTGTGTCTGTGTGTGTCTGTGTTGTGTGTGTCTGTGTGTGTCTGTGTCTGTGTGTGTGTCTGTGTGTGTGTCTGTGTGCGTCTGTGTGTGTCTGTGTGTGTGTCTGTGTGTGTGTCTGTGTCTGTCTGTCTGTCTGTCTGTCTGTCTGTCTGTCTCAGCACAGTGCCTTGAAGGAGCTGACATAACCTCCTCACTACTGGAAACTCCCTGTGCTCTCAGGCGCTTTAAGTGGGCCCAACTTGAGCACAGCTGCTGGGTGAAGGGATCACTAATGGTCACCCACTTTGACCTTGTCTGTTGTATTTACCTTGAAAACTCCAGGTAGGATAAACTCAAAGAGATTCACAGTCAGACACATCATAGCCAAACTATTGAAAGCCAAGCACAAAGAAAGAATCTTTAAAGCAGTAAGAAAGAAATGACTTCCATGTCATAAGATTAACAGCTGATTTTTCATCAGAAACCATGGAGGCCAGAGACCAGTGAAATGACATGTTGAAAGTGATTAAGGAAAAAAATCGTAACTAAGAATTCTAGGTCCAACAAAACTATCTTTCAAAAATGAAGGAGAATTTAACAAATTCCCAGATAAACAAAAAACTGAAATTATTCATCACTAGTAGACCTGTCCTACAAGAAACATTAAAGAGAGCCCCCCAGGCTGAAATGAAAGGACACTAGACTATAACTGCAGTTCACATTAAGAAATATAGAGCATCGGTAAAGGTAACTACATAGGTAAATATAAAACAGCAGTATAGGTGTAAATTTTGGTTTGTAATTGTTCTTTTTTTCTCCTATCTGATTTAAAAGACAAATGCATAAAACAATAATTATAAATCTATGTTGACGGGCACACAATTTATAAAGATGTAACTTGTGACAATAACAGGATAAAGTGAGGGGAACAGAACTATACTGGAGCAAAGTTTTGGTATACAATTGAAATTAAATTGATTTTAATTCAAACTAGATCGTTAAAAATTAAGATGTTAATATAAATCCTCAGGGCAATGACTAAGAAAATAACTAAAAATATGTATAGTAAAAGAACAACAAGGAAATTAAAATGGTAAACTAGAAAATACTACTTAACATAAAAGAAGGCAGTAATGGAGAAACTGAAGAACAACAACAACAACAAAATCCATAAGACATATAGAAAACAAACAGCAAAGTGGCAAACATAAATCTTATCTTCTCAGTAATTACATTAAATGTAAATGGATTAAAATCTCCAATTAAAAGGCAGAGATTGGCAGGATGAGTAAAAATAACATGATCCAACTATATGTTGTCTACCAGAGAGAGACTCATTTTAGATTCAAAGACACAAATAGTTTGAAAGTAACAGGATGGAAAATGATATATCATGCGAACAGTAACAAAAAGACTGGCTATACTAACATCACACAAAATAGACTTTAAGACAAAAATTGCTACTAGAGACAAGGAAGGACATTTTATAATGATAAAAGGGTCAATCCATCAAGTAAATATAACAATATAAACATAAATGCTCCTTACAACAGAGGACTAAAATACATGAAACAAAAACTTACAGAACTGAAAGGAGAAATAGACAATACAACAATAACAGTTGGAGACTTCAGTGCTCCACTTTCAATAATGGGTAGAACAACTAGACAGACAATCATCCATAAAACAGAAGACACCAACTAGACCCAGTAGACATCTATAGAATACTCCACTCAATAACAGAAAATAGACATTCTTCTCAAATGCATGTGGCACATTTTCCAGAATAAACCATATGTTAGTCCATAAAACAAGTCTCAATAAATTTAAAATGACTGAAATCATACAAAGTATGTTCTCTAACCACAGTGGAATGAAATTAGAAATCAACAACAGAAGGAATCTGGAAAATTCCAAAATATGCAGAATTAAACAACACACTCCTAAATAACCAATGGATCAAAGAAGAAATCACAAAGGAAATATGAAGATCCTTTGAGATGAATGAAAATGAAAACACAACACAACAAAACTTGTGGTGTGCAGCAAAGCAGAGAGAAAATCATAACTGCAAATATTCAAATTAAAAAAGATCTCAAATCAATAGCCTAAACCTCTACATTAAGAATCTAGAAAACAAGGACAAACCAAATCCAAATTAAGCAGAAGGAAGTAAATCATAAATATTAGAGCAGAAATAAATAAAATAGATAATGGAAAAACTTTCAGAAAATCAACAAAACCAAAACTTGTTTCTCTTTGGGAAAAAAAAAAAAAAAATATGTATGTATATATACATACGTATACTATACCTTTAAAAATTGACAAACCTTTAGCCAGACTGACCAAGAAAAAAAGAGAGAAACCTTAAATTACTAAAATCAGGAACAAAAGAGGGACATTACTACCGACCTTACAGAAATAAAAAGGATTATAAAGGAGTTTTTTTTTTTTTTTGGGTAAATGAAAATATTTTTTATTTTTTATTTATTTATTTATTGTACTTCAGGTGAAGGCTTACAGAACAAATAGTTTCTCAGGAAACAGTAGTACACATGTTGTTTTATGACATTGGTTAACAACCCCACAACATATCAACCTTCTAACTTCTCAACCTTTTTTTTTGGTGAAAATACACATAGCCAAAGATACACCATTTCAAAAATTTCTACATGCACAGTTCAGTGACATTGACTACACTCTTCAAATTGTGCTGTTAGTCTCACTTAAGATGAAGGCTTACAGAACAAAATAGTTTCTCATTTAACAGTTACTACAAATGTTGCCCTATGACAATGGTTAACAATCTCACAACACATCAACAATATCCTTACTCAACCTTGGGTTCCCTATCACCAGCTTTAAAGGAATATTTTTAACAATTGTATGCTAATAAATTAGATTACCTAGATGAAATAAACAAATTCCCAGAATGACACAAACTACCAAAACTGACTCAAGAAAAAATAGAAAATCTGAACAGATCTATACAACAAGAGATTGAGTTAGTAATCAAACAACTTTCCACAAATAAAAACTCAGGCTCAGATGGTGTTATGAATTGAATTGTGTCCCCCAAAAATATGTGTTGGAATCCTAATCTCTGTAACTGTGAATGTAATCCTGTTTTGGAATAAAGTTTTCTTTGTTATGTTAATTAGATCATACCTGAGTGGGTTGAGTTCTAAATCTAATCACTTCAGAGCTACAAAAAAAGCAGATTAGACACAAAAACAAGTACATCTGGGGGAATACAGACACTATCTGAAGACAACAGAGGCAGATAAATCTATAAGCCCAGGAACTCCAAAGATTGCCAGCTACTAGAAGCTGAATTGACTATGCAAAGGCATTCGACTGTGTGGATCATAACAAAATATGGATAACATTGCAAGGAATGGGAATTCCAGAACACTTAATTGTGCTCATGGGGAAC